AAACTAGGAGGAGTGGTAGATACGCTGGAGGGCAGGGACAGGATACAGAGGGACCTAGACAAATTGGAGGATTGGGCCAAAAGAAATCTGATGAGGTTCAACAAGGATAAGTGCAGATTCCTGCAATGAGGACGGAAGAACCCAATGCACCGCTACAGACTAGGGACCGAATGGCTAGGCAGCAGTTCTGCGGAAAAGGACCTAGGTGTGACAGTGGACGAGAAGCTGGATATGAGTCAACAGTGTGCCCTTGTTGCCAAGAAGGCCAATGGCATTTTGGGATGTATAAATAGGGGCATAGCCAGCAGATCGAGGGACGTGATCGTTCCCCTCTATTCGACATTGGTGAGGCCTCATCTGGAGTACTGTGTCCAGTTTTGGGCCCCACACTACAAGAAGGATGTGGATAAATTGGAGAGAATCCAGCAAAGGGCAACAAAAATGATTAGGGGTCTGGAACACATGACTTATGAGGAGAGGCTGAGGGAACTGGGATTGTTTAGTCTGCAGAAGAGAAGAATGAGGGGGGATTTGATAGCTGCTTTCAACTATCTGAGAGGTGGTTCTAGACTATTCTCAGTGGTAGAAGAGGACAGGACAAGGAGTAATGGTCTCAAGTTGCAGTGGGGGAGGTTTAGGTTGGATATTAGGAAAAACATTTTCACTAGGAGGGTGGTGAAACACTGGAATGCGTTACCTAGGAGGTGGTAGAATCTCCTTCCTTAGAAGTTTTTAAGGTCAGGCTTGACAAAGCCCTGGCTGGGATGATTTAGTTGGGGATTGGTCCTGCTTTGAGCAGGGGGTTGGACTAGATGACCTCCTGAGGTCCCTTCCAACCCTGATATTCTATGATTGCTTCCCCTCGTGAGAGCTAGTGCAAAGGCTCTGAGTTTGGTAAGGAAAGGGCATTCTTCGTTTTAGAATGAAGATGGAATGAACACACCTCTATAGACTAATCAGTAGCAACCTTATGACGGGTGGAAAAACCAATGACAGCCTCTTTTGCTGCTTTCTGAACAGGTTCAAGAACAGATGTAGAGCCACAAGAAAATATTGTGCACTGTACAAGAGATGAGTTACATGGATTCTTCCTTCTAGTGAGAATCCACTTCTGGATCATTCCTTTCAGGTTCTGGAGAGTGAAATTCACTCCAGTTTCATATTCACAACAAGCTGGGAGTCTACACAGCAGACTGCTTATGTAGAAATTCTGTACAAACAGGTCTTATGTATGCAACTGAGTGTTGAATATCTGATTCTGCCTCAAGCTGTGGTTTACATATATGACAGGGCAGAAGCTATTTGCATTTCCAACCCACCAAGGGGAGAGCAGCACTTGTTCACGATGAAGGATAGAGACAGAATTACCCAAATCTACTAGCCTTACTCTCCCATTTCCTCTGCGGACCACTGACTCTGCATGGAACTCTGCTGCAGAATGAGTAGCAGAAAGCACCTACAGCCCGGAGGAGGCAAAAAAACTATTCATAGTGATTGGCTGCCACCTGGTTGACAGAGAGAGTAAGAGTGCTCCACACTCTACACTGATAATACTTAAACGAACAAAAATAAAGATCTTCCATGGATACCCTTGTTACTTTTGGAATGATTTTCAATGGCTTCTTCAAGACTAATGCCAATGGAAATAACATTTAAAATCACATAATATAGGTTATCATTCACTCCATAGTAAGGATATAATGTAGCTGCTTCCTAACCTTAAACAGACTGGCATTTTAAATTTGCTAAATTCACATGACTGCACACCAAGCCATAGCAAGGAGAGTGTGCTAAAGTATCAATCTTCACCCTGTACTGCAACCGTACATTTCAGTGGATTACTATTGGCTTTATGCACCCACTAACTTGGTGGAAATTCCTATAGCTTTAAAATTCTAAGCCAGTTAATCGAAAGTGAGACATTTTGTGACACCCCTGCTAAGGAAACTCTCTGCTCCTGGTGCTCGAATGGCTGGCTCCTTTCAATGTGATAGTGTAGATATTACTTTAACACTTAAATTGTAAGGGAAAAGTAATGAGAAGTTATAAAACCCTTAGATGTATGGGGAGGAAGGTGAGCAAGTGGTAGTACACTGAGATATACCTTCAGCAAAAACCAGAATTGATTGCCCTGTATCAGCATTGCTCACAAAAGGGCAATGCTGATAGTCTTGACTTGCAGCAGGGAGGCTCAACTCTTGCTTCAAGGTCAAATGCTTTGAGACTTCCTTGTCAGCCTCACACAATTTAATGGAAGAACCAGAGAAGCAGATGCAGTTGGGCTGTTCTGAAAGGATCAGAAGAACAGGGGATGAAGCCCTGCTGGAGTAGACAAAGATTTTGGGATATGAATTCTGTTGCGGGTGAGTGCCTTGCAGCTAACTGCCATGCAATTTATGAAATCAATAGTTCTAAAGAATCAAGGAAGTGACATCAGAGATGACAGTAAGACATTCTCAAGAGGGTAGAAAGTAAGGCTGAGCAGTTTTGTACCAAGACAGATCAACCACTAATGCTCAGTGGATTGTAGTCCCGGGAGAGCTCTTCTGCTGAATGCAGTCAAGAAAGACTCAATTGGTACAGCACTGGAAGCAGGGCAGCAGGTGGCCCCAACAGTTTTAACCCACAAAAACTAGGACCAACGTGCAGATCTATGAACGCCAAAGCACTTCCACTATGATGCATCCCTTTAGAGAAAAGATTTACATTCTTTAATGCTTGAGAGCTCACTATTTAAATGTTCAGTTTAAAGACAGATGAGACTGCTGGGATGCTGGGTTTATATGACAATAAATTTGACGGACCTTTGATCATAGTGAGGAATGTGATTCTACAACACAAAAATACACACACATCCCATCTCTGTGATCTTGGCAAATTCAGAAACATAGGCCTAGATTGTGATTTTAAGTCATGGCCTGTACTGGACAGCATGTTGAAGAGCCTGAGTGTATTGGGATCCCACATTGCAGAAGCAGTTCTGGCTCCACCCCCTTCAAAGAGATGCAGCAGCAAGTTCTCTCCTACCTAACCAATCAGTTCTGACCAATGGAGCAAACTCTTTTGAAGCACTTAGAGGAGAGGAAAATGATCAGGAACAGTCAACATGGATTCACCAAGGGCAAGTCATGGCTGATTAACCTAATTGCTTTCTATGATGAGATAATTGGCTCTGTGGATGAGGGGAAAGCAGTGGATGTGTTATTCCTTGATTTTAGCAAAGCTTTTGATACGGTCTCCCACAGTATTCTTGCCAGCAAGTTAAAGAAGTATGGGCTGGATGAATGGACTATAAGGTGGATAGAAAGCTGGCTAGATTGTCGGGCTCAACAGGTAGGGATCAATGACTCCATGTCTAGTTGGCAGCTAGTTTCAAGCAGAGTGCCCCAAGGGTCGGTCCTGGGGCTGGTTTTGTTCATTATCTTCATTAATGATCTGGAAGATGGCGTGCATTGCAACCTCAGTCAGTTTGCAGATGACACTAAACTGGGAAGAGTGGTAGACACGCTGGCCGGTAGAGATAGGATACAAAAGGACCTAGACAAATTGGAGGATTGGGCCAAAAGAAATCTGACGAAGTTCAACAAGGACAAGTGCAGAGTCCTGCACTTAGGACAGAAGAATCCCATGCACTGCTACAGACTAGGGACCGAATGGCTAGGCAGCAGTTCTGTGGAAAAGAACCTAGGGGTTACAGTGGACGAGAACCTGGATATGAGTCAACAGTGTGCCCTTGTTGCCAAGAAGGCCAATGGCATTTTGGGATGTATAAGTAGGAGCATTGACAGCAGATCTAGGGATGTGATCATTCCCCTCTATTCGACATTGGTGAGGCCTCATCTGGAGTACTGTGTCCAGTTTTGGGCCCCACACTACAAGAAGAATGTGGAAAAATTGGAAAGAGTCCAGTGGAGGGCAACAAAAATGATTAGGGGGCTGGAGCACGTGACTTATGAGGAGAGGCTGAGGAAACTGGGATTATTTAGTCTGCAGAAGAGACGAATGAGGGGGGATTTGATAGCTTCTTTCAACTGTCTGAAAGGGGGTTCCAAAGAGGATGGATCTAGACTGTTCCGAGTGGTAGCAAATGACAGAACAAGGTGTAATGGTCTCAAGTTGCAGTGGGGGAGGTTTAGGTTGGATATTAGGAAAAACTTTTTCACTAGGAGAGTGGTGAAACACTGGAATGCGTTACCTAGGGAGGTGGTGGAATCTCCTTCCTTTGAGGTTTTTAAGATCAGGCTTGACAAAGCCCTGGCTGGGATGATTTAGTTGGGGATTGGTCCTGCTTTGAGCAGGGGGTTGGACTAGATGGCCTCCTGAGGTCCCTTCCAACCCTGATATTTTATGATTCTCCACTCTTTTCAGGTAGCTAGTGCTTACAGGAGTGCTAGCACTGTGCAGCAACCAAGTTCCCCCAGATAATTGTGACTGTGGACTGTGGTTAGGGGGGCCTAAAGGGAAGGGAGGTGCCTCATGCTTTCACCCAATGCAAGATCGGTGCAATAGTGTCTTCGACATAAGGTAGTTTAATGGTGTATGTGAAAATTCCAGTAATTTACAATCTAAAAAAGGTGTTAAAAGGGTTTTTTTATTTTTAAAATGCCACCATCACAGCTACCCAGGAAACACAAACTATAGAAAACTTAAAAAAATACATTCTTATTTACTGCATTCAAATCACCTTTCCCAAGTCAAAAAGTGTCATCTCTTAAAATCCTGATATTTACAGCCTCTCCTGCAAGTCTAGAAGAAGCCCAACACAAAATAAACTCTTACATCTACTGAACAACTAGTAAACTGCATAAAGGAAGGTTATCTTGTTGTACAAGTGATCATACTGTGGAATTTAGCTCCAGTGTGCCCACAGGTTCATAGCTTCAGGATTTTTTTCCACCAGAGACAGGATATTTTTGTCAAACCATGTCCAGATGAGCCTGCTAACAGTACTTGATCTGTGGTCTGACAAGTGCTGACTGCAAAGAGTGCGGCATACTCACATGTAAACTGGGATGATAAGTCAGTACACCGTTGTCACACAAGGTAACGTATTTCTTCTTCCACTCTTTATTCAATGACTTGCCACTTCGCTTTAGCAGCACACCCTGTTAGAGAGGAGGAGAGAGGAAAAGGCTGAGAAAGGAATTAAACATGATCTTTTGCAAATGTATAGCCATTCAAAGGCAAGGGCAGCAGAAATTTATAACATATTTACGAACATTCTAGTACTGTGTTTCCCTACACGCTTCTCCATCTCTTCACTTTGTTTCTCCCTTGTCTTTCTGCCAAAATATATCGAATGGCAGCTACCAGTAGCCCCAGTAATGGTAGAGTAGTAGCTCTTCAACATGGTTTTCAATAAAGCAGATTAGTCCAACAAAATATAGTCTGTGTCAACATTTGCTCTGTCCACTAGGCCTATCACGAGAAGCTTTTGTACTGAATTATACCTCCCTTGGAATTTATATTTTAATGGTGGCACTCAGTCAGATTTATGGCCATAACAATAAACTCTAAGTTGAGCAAAGATCAAACACCTAGTACACTTGTGGGCACGATGAAATAAATGATAAATAATAAATTTCTGTCTGAATGGATTTTCCATGCAATTATGGATTCTAGTGTTTTTGGTGTGTGGCTTTTGGATTCCTTTATAGCAACTACTATGTGTGGATTCCTCTGCTGTATCTGAGCTCAGCCACAGCTTGGGCACGGAAATGCAGCAGTTAGCATTTGATTGTTTCTGCTTGAACACTCATTCTACTAATTTGTGCAGCTTCTTCTCCCTTTCCCAAGCGATGGCACTGCACAGAAATTCTTCCAGTTACTTATAATCCTAGCAAGGAGAAGCACTGCTAATGCAGGTGACAGCAGGAGAGACCCTTACAAGGAAATAAAGCTAAAGCAAGTTGTAGGGTGAGATCTTGAGAGTGCACTTTTGAATAATCAGAAGGTAACATTGGAAGAAGATGGATGGAACCACAACTTGGCAGTCATGGAGTAAGAGAGGGAAGAGGCCAAGTTTTGTATTTCCAGGGAGTGCAAAGGAAAATAAGAGCAGCCAAACAGGAAGTAATTTACCACAGCAGAGGGAAGAGATGATTGAACAATGAATTAAGATGTAAAACTACTGAAAGTACACAAAAACACTGGAGAGGAAAGGAACCAAAATGAAAAGGAAACTCAAGACAAAAAATGGTCTGTAAGGAATTCCAGTTGCAGTCAAAACTAAACTGGAATTTATGAGCAACTGGAACACGGGAAAAATACAGAAGGAAGAGCAAGAAAAGAAAATCAAGAGAAAAAACTAAATATTTTTATGTACTTGATCTTTTTTTAATTACTACCAACCTAACTCATGAAACATATGGTGTCATTTCACGTTCACTAAGGAAGTAGTCTCACCCAGTGGACATTTCCCCCCAACATTACACTGTACGTTGACTGGTTAGGGTGTTGAGAGACAGGAAACCAGATGGAGTAATTTCATTAGACAAAAGTAATTTTTAATACACAATTCATTTAATCTTATCACCTGGCTCTCCAATTCCAGTTATGCCCATGCTGAAATATAGTTTACATCTATATTGGTAATTGTAACACTCAAAAGGAAAAGGACTGAAACACTGAACTTATACTAAACATGCATGTGGAACTTGCAACTTTCAATAACTAGCGCTAATAACTACAAGGTCTTTCATCACAAGTTTAAAAAAACAGAAACTCTATAAAGATAGCCACTTTAATATGGCATTTGATCTAAACACCTCTCAGTTGAATTTTAGTGTTTTACAAGCCATGATTTATATTTTCAAAATTCATTATCACAGTTAGATTGGCTGGAACTTCTGTGGCATTTCAGTGTATTCTGAAGTAAATAAAAAGCTAAGCACACAGAAATGCACTAAGTGAATTGCCACAGTAGGCTAATCAAGGTATGCCAACCAATGCCTTAGGAACAGTTTTGTCTAGGAAATTCTGATAAACGCAATTATAAGACATCTCTTAATGAATGCTGCACAGTATAATTTGGTTGAGGAATATTTCTAGTTAAACTGCTCTTACTCAGGCAAATATCAAACTTCTATCTTTGTACCCAAGTACCATCTTGGGGACCCACAGCTAGGCCTGGTCATTTTGTACTGAGAAGAATCTGCAAATTCAATAAATCCTGTGGTGTGTCAGGTGCTCAACAGCACGGATCAGTTCCAACCAAAATCAGACTCTTATGTTTATTAATTTAAAACTCAACACAACCAGCAATTTGAACTAAAACATGCATTGGTTTCATCTTATCCCCATGAATTTAACAGAAGAATGTCTCCACTAAATAAAATTAAATCATGAAGGAATAGCATTCAATATTAGTACATGAAAAATACAGCAGGAAATAGAAAGTAAAAGGTGTAGTATTTCCAACTATTATGATACGTTATGTAGTACAAATTTTTAAAATGAATAAACCTAAAGCAAGCTGTGATGCATGCTTACTTTTTCAGTCAATAGCTTGCTTTATAAAATTATGTCATTTCAGACTGAGTCCCAAAAATACAAGGGGACAAGGGTCAGACCTGTGCCAATGCACAATTACAACTGCTCCACTGCTTCAGAAAACAGTTTCCCTCCCCCAAACACTGACAGACATAATCCTCAACTAAATCCCTCATGCAACAATCCAGATGGACTCATAATACTCCTTTAGCAACCATGGAGATGGTTCCACAGGGGAGTCCCAGGGTCATAACTGCCCTTTACTAGACACACTCTTTAAATAAAGGCCACAACAGTGACCTTTCAGAATCCACATTGGTTATGAAAGACACTGTACCCAAAAGCACACTTTAAATGACTGAAATTAGGCACAAATGTGTTGTAGTAACTTTCTGATAGTTTTGGGGTCAGGTTTCTCTTGGTGCTGTTGGATGCAACTTCCCAGGGCTGGAGACCTCAAACTTGTAAAAATGGAACAGGGTTCTGAATGTTCTTTCCATGATTCTGCAAGTTTGAGGTTTATGTGCTAATTACTGTCTTCTCATGCAAGAGAAATTGTTTTCTTCTATTAAAAATGAAAGCTTACATCTGCCTTTGACTTCTATGTTCGTCTGTAAGAGGTGATATGTCATTTCACCTTTCCAGTCTTTTATACGGAACCTAACTAAAACTGAATTCCCATAAATGTAAGATTGCACTGTTATCACTGTGCTATAAATAAAAAATTACTTTCCGAAAGCTATTCCCCAACTGGTGCTGATATGTTTTTTCTTTATACTCTTTAATAGGAATTAAACTGTAAAGCATCACATTGGTAATTTTTTCTATCCACTTTCTTCAAATTTTCAAGAAGTGGAAATGCACTTTACTGATTTTTGACTGCCACTCAATTACAGGTAAAACATTTTACTACTTTGGAGGTGCCTGTTCAAGGCAATTATAAGATCAATGAAGTGTAAGGTTACTAATTTTGGTTGGACATATTCCTGGAGGTTTCATCACATGACAATCTTTAATTAAAGATTAATCTTTAATTCCTTGGCAATCCTAACAGTTCCATGATATTAAAATGTCTAAAATGCACTTGGTTTTTACACAAAGAAGGTTTCGCTACTATCCATGTAAGAGTTAGGAAGTTCCAATTCATGGATCTGGATGAAGTCATCACTCTGACAATCAAACTGCAAGTTACACAGCTTTATATTTTTAAAAAAAGAGGATTCCACTATATTATTATGTATGGTAGCGTTCTATTGAACATTATGTACATCTAACCTCCCTTGCAATGTGATTTGTTTTTGTTGTTGTTTTAACTATTTGAGTTAACTGACTAAAGTAGTATTTATAACTAGTGTCAGCCATTCACTCCATCAGTCCAAACATAAAATACTTCACAAGAGATATTTGACCCACAATGGCACTCAAAACACGGTAGAACAATTAATACTGCTTCATTTAAGGACAGAAAATGAACCTCCACCTCTACTCTGGATCAGAACATTCCCAAGATCTGAGATGGAACACATCTGGGGTTCTAGTTCAGACTCATGTCTAGTACAGCGGTAATAACTTCAGAAGCAATTCATATCACCACATTATTTGCAGTATTCTCTTCATTAAGCATAGAGATTCCAGGGTAAAATTACCCTCTGGCAAAGGCTAAATTGTGAAGATTTTAATAGTCAGTGTACACACAAAGTAAGTTAATTTCAACACAAGGTTATTCATATCCCCATGAAAAGCAGGATTCTCAACTTTAGAAACACCAGTTGAAAATATGGAATTAAACATTACTTTTACTTAGCTGTAGTTAAGGGGACTTTGGTTTTACGGAAAGAAGGGATCTTTAATGATCTGGAGGATGACGTGGATTGCTCCCTCAGTAAGTTTTCAGATGACACTAAACTGGGAGGAGAGGTAGATATGCTGGAGGGTAGGGATTGGATACAGAGGGACCTAGACAAATTGGAGGATTGGGCCAAAAGAAATCTGATGAGGTTCAACAACGACCTGCACTTAGGATGGAAGAATCCCATGCACCGTTACAGACTAGGGACCGAATGGCTAGGCAGCAGTTCTACAGAAAAGGACCTAGGGGTTACAGTGGACAAGAAGCTAGATATGAGTCAACAGTGTGCCCTTGTTGCCAAGAAGGCCAATGGCATTTTGGGATGTGTAAGTAGGGGCATTGCCAGCAGATCGAGGGACGTGATCGTTCCCCTCTATTTGACATTGGTGAGGCCTCATCTGGAGTACTGTGTCCAGTTTTGGGCCCCACACTACAAGAAGAATGTGGAAAAATTGGAAAGAGTCCAGCAGAGTGCAACAAAAAGGATTAGGGGACTGGAACACATGATTTATGAGGAGAGGCTGAGGGAACTGGGATTGTTTAGTCTGCAGAAGAGAAGAATGAGGGGGGATTTGATAGCTTCTTTCAACTGCCTGAAAGGAAAGGAGTACTTGTGGCACCTTAGAGACTAACCAATTTATTTGAGCATGAGCTTTCGTGAAAGCTGTAGCTCACGAAAGCTCATGCTCAAATAAATTGGTTAGTCTCTAAGGTGCCACAAGTACTCCTTTTCTTTTTGCGAATACAGACTAACACGGCTGTTCC